TCTGTATTAACTAATACCAATGTGGAACGGATTGCCTCTTCTAACTCGGTCATTCTTTTTAACATGTAATAGGTGAAGTTCTACCTAGTTTCCACGTCTTGGATTGGCCGTTTGGGAACTTTGTTATGTTGTAAATGATACTTTAAAAAGCCTTTCTGAAGATAAGGTACTTTTTTTGAAATGTGTTTTTTGCCGAATTGTCGAAAAAAAGATTTTAATTTATTTTAACTATTTATACACGACAGCATTTAAGTGCGTCCTTCACCAATAAATTTAACGTATGAGCAAAACAATTTAAATGTTTTTATTCCAAAACATTTTTTATAGCTTTGACCATATTTGAGGCATTATCAGTTACTGCAAAATTTACTTATCGTTTTAGACCCCACTGATTAATAATTTCACTAATTTCAAAAGCGATGTTTTCTGAATTATGGTTTCCAGAAAAATTGCAGTAGCCTAATAAAACCGTTTTAAATTGTAAATTTTCGGTTAAATATTGTCGTGTTAATGCGATGTAACTCTCAGTTACTCCAGATATCCAGAGGTCAGTAGTAATACAGATATTTTCTACTTCTTTAACAACTTGTGATCTAATAATTTGCTCAGTTTTGATATAACATTGCTGAAGTAATGAACCTGACAAAGTTTTTCTTGTTGGCGGTTTATATCCAGGAATCCACCCTGCAAAATTTTTAAAAGCTCGTTCTTCAACTATGGAAAACGGATGAAACGAGTCTTTGCATAGGTTTAGTAAATCCATGTCTATTTGTTTCTTTTGTTCTCAACTAATATTTTTATTAATGAAAGTATTCATCACCTTTTGACGCTTGGGTGGGGTGGCATTATGTCAGTACTTGTAGTAGTAGTAGTCGAAACGGACAGAAATCCGTCAGGAGAAGTTTCAATCATTGCAATACTCAGAAAGTGGACCATAAAAGCTGCATCTTCTACAAATGTGCATTTTTTGAAAATAAAATTATTATTCTTATACTAGGTCAATAATTTTGACTAAGAAAAAGAATTCTTAATTGAATATTTACAATAAATAAATCCTTTGACGAACTATCAATAAAGATTTGAAATCGAAAATGCAGATCAATCGTAAATCGAAACTCATTCATTAATTAGAATACCTAGTTATAAAAAACAAAAGAAAGAGTTAGGAAGCTGGTTACTTATATAAACAAAGAAAAAGAAGATTGTACTATTGAAAATAAACCAGTACAAGAAAAAGAAACTGATAAAGATGACTTAATGGTTAATGGTGTATTTTTGATGAATTAATTTTACATGACTCTTCTAAACATACACCTGTATCGAGAGATATAAAAGAAGTCGAAATGTATTTGTCTGATGATATAATACCCACAAAAAATTTCGAACGGAGATTGGAACTGTCCATTACAGGGGTGGAAAAACCATCGCCATCTACATCCTAATTTAACCACTATATTCATAAAATATTGTAGTATTGTAACAACATCTGTTCCTTGTGAAAACATGTTCAAAATCTGGTTTAATTTTAAATAAAAGAAGAACACGGTTAACAAGAAAAGTGGAAAAACTTATGTTTTTAAATGTCAATTTAGACGATTCGCGATTTAATAATGTGTAATGTAAATGTAAGTACTATTTGTATTGTTTAATTTATTTTTCAAGTTATAATATACATATCCTTCGTTAGTTTCTTTCACTTCAATACTTATACACATAAACGAAAATAGCCAATATGTTTGTTTGTATACTCGCTTATTTGAAACTACTGGTAAACAGTCAACTAGTTACAGTTTACGAAAAACGGTTCCGAGAAAAATGTCAACGACCCACCTCTAGTTTCTTACGTATATTAGGATCGGAACCAGAGATATGTAAAATATCTCTGATCGGAACTAATCGTCTCACTAATGGGCAATGATCGTCAATAAGAAATATGGAGGGGATACCAAGGGGAAATAATGATTGTTATCTTTGTCTATTCGCTGAAAATGTAATTTTATATCTGTGTTAGATATCCTGTTAAATTTTACCATACCGACCATAAACTTTTACTTACACTGTATACAGCGTGAGTCATGAGGAACTTTACATACTTCTACCATATGTAGAGTCCCTCAGGGAGCATATCATGTGGCCACTAAAAAATGTCAACTCCTCTTCTTTATTAATTAACAGGGTGATTTGTGTAATGGACCATTTATTTCATTTTACTGTGTTTGATTTTTTAAATTTTTGCATGATACAGTACACTACTCTCAAGCATTCGACTGGTATTAGCTAAACTAACAAAATTCCAGGACTGGCTTTGGAAAAATTAATTTAGGGATTCGTATTAAATATTACACCCTGTATATATATTTTTTAAAATGCAATAAGTGATTTTCAAACTACATAAATAGTCAATGAAAACGACATATGCGACAATGTTGTCGCACTTTTATTAAATTTTTAGTGAACGATCAAATCTTACCAAAAATAGAACAACCATAATGAAGTATCAAATTATAAGGTATTAATTTAAAGAAATGTCATAAATTTCAAACATTTTAATTAAAATGAGTTCCTACAACATAATCTAATACGTAGAAAATTAACATCTTTACTGTCACTTTGTATTATCTCTACGATAGAATCAATTGTTTTTCAATTTTAAATTTTTACTCATAGATCGCATTGGGGCATTATTTTTGATAAATAATAAATTAAATTGATTAAAAAGTCAAACCTCTTGTATGTGTTAGTTTTTGTTGATTGTAAATGATTAAAATTTTATGTCAAATAATAATACATTGCATCAACTGTACTAAATAAAAATAAATCTAAAAAAGTTTAAAATGAAGGTTGGCGTTGACCGTTTGACGTTTCTTGATATTTTATACCCATTGTCATTATTGTCATTATCAATTGTTATTTATGTTTACAAGAAAACATATTTCTTCTGTCATATCTACGTTAAGTACATTGTGTTAGTTTTGGTAGAGCTTTTGTTACTTTCGTTCAAAATGCCACATCAGTTTTCGACCACAGAATATGCAGACATAATATTTGTTTATGGATTCTGTAATAGGAATGGTAGGGCTGCTAGTAGAGAATATCGCAGGAGATTTCCTAATCGTCGAACTCCCAGTCATCCAACATTTGGGTCAGTTTTTAATTATTTGCGAGAAAATGGCACTTTTCCTAGTGGAACAACAGAGCGACATGTAGATGAAGCGCAGGAAGATGACATTATGGACGCCGTTACTATGAACCCTACAATAAGCACTAGACATGTAAGTCGAGAACTCAATGTTACTCAATCAAAAGTAAGTAGAGTCTTACAAAAAAATAATCTATACCCATATCACATTCAAATGGTTCAGCGACTACATGCTGGAGATGAGATCGATAGGTTGGAATTTTGTAGATGGATTAACAATAATCGACCAACGCTATACAGGACACTAGTTACAGATGAAGCCCAATTTACCAGAGACGGGATAAATAATTCATGAAATTCACATGTGTGGGCAGAAGAAAATCCCCATGCTATCGAGAAAGTCGTTCTCAGTTAAAGTTTTCGGTTAACGTGTGGATTGGTGTCATAAATAACCAATTAGTAGGTCCTCACTTTTTTGATGGTCCTTTAACAGGGCAGGTCTATTTGAACTTTCTACAAAATATTTGCCGAATTTGCTTGCCAACGCGAACGTTGCTATCCGAGGGATGTATTTTCAGCATGATGGGGCACCCCCACACTTTTTACTGGCAGTGAGACAACATCTCAATAATGTTTATGGCAACAGGTGGATAGGACGTGCAGGTCTATTTCGTGGCCTTCAATATCTCCTGATTTCAATCCCGTTGATTACCATATTTTGGGGACGATTGAAGCAACTAGTTTACGCAGTGAATATTAATAACCAACAACAATTAATTGATAGAATTATACATTGTTGTAATACTATTAGAAACGATCCCCAGAGTATCCGTAATTCAATACGTCAATTAACAATCCGGCAACAAAAATGTGTATAGGCTGCAGGGTTCCATTTCGAAAATCTATTTTGAATTATTTTTTATTTGTTACCATTATTGTATCTCTTCCAGTTCTAATTTATGGGTTTATCATAACTATGTACATATTTTTAGTTTTTTTTTTTTAAATTGTTCTTCGTTATTGTTAGTAGTTACTGTTTTTTGTTGTGCAGTGACTCAGTTTATCATTTCAATTAAAATGTTTGAAATTTATAACATTTGTTTAAATTAATTACTTATAATGTGATACTTCATTATGGTTCTTTTATTTTTGGTAAGATTTGATCGTTCACTAAAAATTTAATAAAAGTGCGACAACATTGTCGCATATGTCGTTTTCATTGGCTATTTATGTAGTTTAAAAATCACTTATTGCATTTAAAAAAATATATATACAGGGTGTAATATTTAATACGAATCCCTAAATTAATTTTTTCCAAAGCCAGTCCTGGAATTTTTTAGTTTAGCTAATACCAGTCGAATGCTTGATGGTAGTGTACTGTATCATGCAAAAATTAAAAAAATCAAATGAGCCGTATAAACACTACAGTAAAATGAAATAAATGGTCAATTACACAAAGCACCCGGTTAATTAATAAAGAAGAGGAGTTGACATTTTTTAGTGGCCACATGATATGCTCCCTGAGGGACTCTACATATGGTAGAAGTATGTAAAGTTCCTCATGACTGACCCTGTATATATATATATTATATATTATATATATATATATATATATATATATATATATATATATATATATAATATATATATATATTATATATATATATATAAATATATATATATATTATATATATATATATATATATATATATTCTATTTCATTTATTAACAAATGAAAACCAGTTGGGTAATATAGTTATTTTGTTAAAAAGAGAAGTGACGCCTATGTCTAGCGGTCAAATGATAACATGTATCCAATGTTAACTTCATACTTCTTATATTGCTAAAACGAGTGAACACTGTCAAAGGTTGGTTCTGTAGTTGGTAAGTGAAGGCGGTAATGCTGTGTTAGTTGTATGTGTAACTATATCATAAAAGATGAAACATAAAGTTATATTCCTCTTCGTATACTTTGTATTCTACAACGACGTATTTGCTCAAGGTGAGTAAAAAACTTAATATACTATCACAGCTAATTCTTAACACTGTACGAATATTAAACCGGTCTTATTTTTCTTTTCTCGTAAGAACGGGACGTATTTAAGCAGATTTACATTTTTTTTTAACTGTTCTTGTGTTTTAAACTAATTTATGAAAATATCCATTGAATTTTAAATAAATCTCGTTTTGTTTACATATTCTGTGTTCTTGATGTGATCTTTAAAGTATGCAATTAATTGACGATGTTTAAATTCTTGGGTTTTCCAGATCTTTTTACTTTTAACAAAAACAAGAGCGGAACACTAGAATAAAATTAATGAGCCCATTTGATTGGTCTTTGTTTTGTATTAAAAGAATAGATTATCTACAATAATTTTGTGTACTTTCTGATTAATTAAATCTGTTTAGTAGCCAATTGTAGTTGACGGTATATACTTATTAAATCGCTATATTCATTAAATATAATTTATTAGGAATTATTTACAACCATTTGAAATAGATTTAGTATTAAAAAAACCTAATTTAAAATTAATTAAGTAAAGCAGTTAAATAACTCAACTCAAAAACATTTTGAATCCGTTAAAGAAAAAATAATATATTAATCATTGTGTTTTGATCATCAGCGAAGAATAATGTCAGGTAGCTCTCGTCGACTTACCTGAACATTTTGTCTGTCTTTCTGATGCCTCTTGAATATAAATTTTAAATAAAATAAGGGATAGGCAACTCATATTTTTACTTAAAATGCTTCAGAAATAGCCCAGTCGTCAGAGAGTTGACCTCTAAAAATCATACGAACAAGCTAAATTTTACCGAGAATATTAATTTTGGGACTAAAAAATAAATGCAAAAAAGTTTACCAAGATTATGTACGCCGTAGAAGAAAATGTTTTATAAAGAAATTAAAAAATGTAGCTGAAATCATTTTAAACAAAAATGTGTATTAGCACTTTTTGTTTAGATGACTATGACTCTGTGAATAGAAGACCAATGTTCAAAGCAATGAAAAAGCTAGGAATACTAAATCAGTTGGTAAATTCACCAAAACTAAATCTTGAAGAAGTTGAATGTAGAGTACGAATTCAGGGGAACTGTCTGAACCTTCTAAAACAAATAACTGGCTGCGCCAGGAACACCCTTTCTCCTATATACTGTTCAATCTGGCTCTGGAAAAAGTAATACGTATGTCACAAACCACAACCATTGGGTCAATATACAGAGTGGCCCAAAAGTCTGGAAACGGCCAATTATCTCGTAAATTGCTAGTCATAATTGTACAAAATTTGAGGTACAGCTATTTTGGATTACAGATATTCTATATTTGATATTTGCAATGTTGCCAGAATTGCCATTTCTCTTATATTATTAGTAACTTTGATTTTTCAAATTCATCACTCTGTATATTTAGTCATTATTGGAATCTCCTATTCAATACGAGTTCAACCATATGTAACACTTATGATTTATAGATTTATAGACTATATGAATGTAGTCTGGAAGGTCTTAACTACATACAACAGTGCAAAATATGTAGATTTTAATAAATTTAAATATTTAAATGTAGAGTGCTGTGATTTTGACATTTGTTCACCATTTACATGATTAACTGAAACCTACAGTAGTTGTGTGTCGAAAAATTCTGCAAGATAAATTACTTCTCTAAAATGGCTCTTAACGAAAAAGAACGAATTACTATTTTAATAATGAGAGGGTACTGTGATAGAAAAAGATCTTATTGTGAAGTAGCCAACTTGTTCAATCATACTTTCCCAAACCGTTCTCCTATTCATAACGCGACGGTACAAAAAACTGCAAAGCGATTTTGAGAAATCTGAAGAAGTAAAAGATAAATACCGATCAGGTAGACCGAAAAAAAATATGACTGACAACAAAACTTTAGATATAATGCAAAGTTTTGTTGAAGATCCACATACATCCTCACGCAAGGTTGCACAAGTACATGATGTAGGTCGTTTTTCAGTCTTACGTGTATAACGTAAGAATAAATTTAAACCATACAAAATTAACTTATTGCAAGAATAAGATGAAGATGACTTCGATCGTAGATTAAAGATTACTGAGGTAATGATGAATAAAATGGAAAATGATGAAAATTTCGTTAACAGAATATGTTTTTCCGATGAAGCAACCTTTACACTGCGTGGAAGTGTAAATCGACACAATTTAAGGTATTGTAGTGACGTAAATCCACACTGGTGGGAAAACCATACTCAAAGACCACAAAAATTAAATGTATGGTCAGGTATAGTAGGTACTCAGTTAAGTGGACCATTTTTTATCGAAGGAAATTTAACGTCAGTTAGTTACGAAATGTTACTTAGAAATGAAATTGTACCTACACTGAGAAACTTCTTTGGGGCCAATTTTAATCAGATATAGTTTCAGCAAGATGGAGTTCCAGCTCAGTTTGGTGTAAATGTTCGGCATTATTAAGATGAGATATTTCTCGGACGAAGGATTGGTAGACGAGGTAGAATTGAATGGTCTCCAAGTTCACCTGATTTCGATCCTTAAGATTATTTTTATTGGGGATACTTGAAAAATTTACAAAGTCTACAAAACTAAACCATCAAATCTTGCATAGCTAAGGCAACGAATTATCTATAAATCTCGAATAATTTCTAGATAATTATGGAGAAATGCATTCTACCATCGATTAGGGTACTAGGATACATTTTGAACACTTGATAAAGTAACCATTATGCTAAAAAATGTTGTAATATATCAATTGTTACGTTTTAATGTAGTTGAAAATATTTAGTATTAAAAAATTTATTGAGACAATTAGGCGTTGCTAGACTTCTGTTTTATGTATTTAAGACATTTCAGACTACATAAAATCATAAGTGTTACATATGGTTGAACTCTTATTAAATATATTCCAATAATGACTGAATATACAGGGTGATAAATTATAATAATATAAGAAAAACGGCAAATCTAGCAACATTTTAAATATCAAATATAGAATCTCCGTGTCCCAAAATAGGTGTATCTTAAATTTTGTACAATTATGATTAGCAATTTACGAGATATTTGGCCGTTTCCAGACTTTTTAACCACTCTGTATAATAAATCAGTGCAAATCCTTGCCTATGCTGATAATCAATATCGTTGGAACGGAAAACGTTGTATGAAAGGGATATGAGGCAATAAAAGAATCAGCTACAAAATTGGGTTTAATAATAAACACCAACAAAAAGAAATATATGAATATAAGCACGCAACCACAAATCCTACGACCATCATCATCATCATCATTGGCTTTTACAACTCTTCGTGAGTTTTTGCCGCGTTAACTATTGCCTTCCATTGATTCCGATCCTGTGCTATTATTTCCCATGGCCTTACTTCCATCTTCTCCAGGTCTTCCCTGACATCATCTCAATCCTACGACCATGTGTTATAGAAAACGACGTCATCAAAGCAGTCAACTTATACCTGGGAGCGCTCCTTAACACTGAAAATAATACTACCGCAGAGATAAACCGCAGGATTTGCACGGCCAACAGATGTATTGTGGGCTCAATCTCCTCCTTAAATCCACAATTATATCGAGAAATACAAAAATAAAACTCTACAAAACAACAATATGCCCAGTCGTAACATACGGTTTAGAGACCTGGACCTGAAGAAAAAGTAATGAAAACATGAAAGGATGTTTCGAAAGAAAAGTACTAAGGCGAATCTATGGAGTAACGAATGACAATGGAGTGTCTAGAAGCCGATACAACTTCGAACTTTATAGAATATACCAGGAACCAGATATCGTAAAACATATTAAGATGGGACGTCTGAGGTGGATAGGGCATGTAAATGCGGATGGAACAAAATGACCCATCTAGAAAAACGCTCCTTGATAGATCCATTGGTCAGAGAAGAACAGGAAGACCAAGAACAAGGTTCCTTAACAACATCGACGAAGACATGAGAAACAAGAGAATACGTGCTTGGCGGAGGAAGTCGATGGACATGGAGAATGGAGAGAAATTTTTGAGGAGGCTAGGACTAAAATTGTCACAACAAAAGTAACAGAAACTAAATTTACCGCCTTATCTATTTGTGTATGATGCACCTCTGTGTCGTTACTAATGATGAAACCTATGAATAAATTGTTAAATAAATACTCGTGAATAAGGAACAAACCTGTCTATGGTTGACAGCACGATTGATGTATGTCAATATCAGCGGTGTTTAAGATGGTATCGTAATGTAACCACTTTAAATTATGTATTTTATGTATCATGTTTATTTGTGTTAGTATTACAATAAAATATCAACACATTCTTTTATTTTCTATTCTTCAATATAACATAAATGTTTACCTCTAAAGTAGCTGATAACACTGCCCACTTTTGTTTCCGGAATGTCAGTGGTTTAAGAAAAAAATCTTTTGCATCATAATACATACATATATATTGTTATGATATGTAAAATCGAGAAAAATATTGGTTTGCTTAAAATATTTCAAAGTTCAAAAACATTAAAATAATTCAGATAAGTCAAACAATAAACTACAAAATTTCGAAGAATTAAAGTCTTTTAATTTTGGATTACCTGTATTTAACAAAACGTAAGATATGCATAAATTATTTTCTTTGTTAAAATATATTTGTATGACGTGAATAAGCTGAAGTGAAATCCATAAGACAATTGAACCGGGTTTTCCAAATACATTAGTGCAGTGATTAGGACAATAGAATAGATTTTAGAAAGATAGGGTTTTGTTAGTTTTTAAGAATTGGTGGAAAAAGATTAGTTTTTAAATAATGTTCGGAAATTTTATAAATGTAGGTATGTAGGTATAATTTGTGTGTTATCGAAATGAAGAAATGGGAGATGGATGACGCGTTTTGATTGGATGAAATTGAAAAAGGTGGGATGATTGGTTTGAGAATGAGACTTTAGTTAGTTTTTGAAACAAAAAAGATAGTCAGTTGGTTTCCAAGGGTAGAAGGCGAACGGCCGTTGTTCTCGGGT